ATCGCATGACAGAATCATATATATATATATATATATATATATATATATATATATATATATATATATATGAAAGAAAAAAAACAAAAAAAACATGGCAGGTCAGCCATCAGCATTAACCAGAAAAAAAAAACAGCACTTGTTAATATGGCCCCCGTGTAATGCAGACTATGAATTGTGAAATTCCAACCCTTGCTATGCCAAATTATAGGGAAGTGTTGTGGCATGTGCAGCAAGCTGAAATAAAACATCTCTATCCAGTTCGTCCTCGAGGTCTAGAACATGAGGAAAACATACAGCAGAAGAACATGAACACTTGGGACACACAACTGAACTAAAGCTTGAACTCAGGAATGGGTTCATAGCACTTACACGTAGATTGCCAAAACAATGTTTCCTCTTTGGCTGGAAGGAGTTGGTATATTATGAAAACTTTTATATTACAACACTTTGAAGACAATAGTTAAAGTATGTCAGCATATCTTAAGAACACAGTACCATGCCAAAATGGTTTATTGGGATTTTTGACTTACCTTATTTGCCTTCTTTACTTAATCAGTGGTTACTCTGATATATGAGTTCACCAAAGGAACAGATGACTACATTTTTTAGGATTTATTTTTTGGAGTGTAAGTCACTGATGTTGATTTTTATATGTGTTCTGCACTGAAGTTATTCTTCCTAGAGCATAAACTTGAATAATTGTAGTTCTTTTAAAGCCAAGGCTTTTCTAAAGCCAAATTTTGCTCTGTCAAAGGCAACTTTTGAGGCTAAAACAAGTTAGTAGTTGAATAGAAAATTTGAATTATTTGCCAGGACATAGAGTAAAATAGGAAGGTTTTTTAAATTTTGAGATATACCATTTACCATCTGCTTTTGGAAATGTTTTATGATCGTACTATGATCAACAAATCTTAATGCGGCAGCCACCAAACGCTATCATCAGCATATCTCATCAATGCTCAGGCTATTATATTCCAGTCACCTCTAGGTCATGACAATAAAGGGTTGAACACTTCATTTCTGACCTTTCCGTACCATTCATCAAGTATTCTCTCAGATAGTTTGAGATTACTATTTGTGAAGTGCATTTCAATAGAAACATTTCCCCTCTAAAATGAGCTTCTTCCAGTTATCTTTATTCCAAGGTGTGTTTGATGTTCTTAACAACTGTTTCCAAGATGCAAACATATCGTTGTATCTAATTACAAAGAGCCCAAACTTCCGTTCTCTGGTTCAATGCACAATATTAATGAGGTCAATGATTATGTTAATTGGGGAGCATTCTACAGCATGTTTTAATTAGTTCTCTGTATTCTGATTTAATGAAGAGCCCGAAAACTTCACTGGATGCTTGAAATGCATACAGCTCTCAGCTTACGCTTTTTTTAAAAGGACATTTAAAGAACTTTCCACTCTGTAAAGACTTTATATAAAACATAAAAAATAATTTTACTGGGTTTTTTTGTTTTGTTTATTTTTTTAGTAAAAATTAAACAAATATGCCTATCCACACTTCTCCCAAGATTTACATCTTGCACTTTACGAGTATGATATATCTGATATAAAAAATTGAAAAAACATGTTTGCTCACATGTGCAGAGGAAATTTTCCTGGATGTCATGTTGTAGGTCTGACCGTCTAGTTTTTTAATTGGAGTACACTCTCGTTTTCTGCTTCTAATGTCTGACATGAAATGCAAAAAAGACCCAATATTAAGCTATTTTATAAGTGCATTACGTTTACAAATTACTTCTTTAATGAATAACCTTCCAAGACTCCATTTGAAGGGCCATTATCTGAGTGTTCCAATCTATTGCTTCACCTCCAGACTTTAACATTTATTATACTGATGAGATGCAATTAAAAGAGCAGATGTCCACAAGCTGCTCTCATCTGAGACGAGTAAATAAAATACCAATCCACACAATAACATTACCCATGAAAAGACTTTGCTTGGCGTCACGACAGGTAAGCTCGGAAAACACCTGATTTGGCTAGACTACTGGTTTTATTCTTTATTATTTCTATATTATTAATATGTAATTTCTTTAGTATTTGTATACCTTATATGACGAAATGTTTGATGTTTGAGATTGGAAACAAATGTTTTGCAGATTGACTAATATGCTTTGTTTTTATTAAATGTATTGATTTTTATGGACTTCCTGTTTTGTTATTTTTCCCCTAGATACTGAGACAGAGTGTGAATATCCCTGAAGAAGTCCAGCTCTGTCCCAAACAACTAATTGGAATGACCCCATTTAGCAACGTGTCAAGGGAACACGACAACATAGACAATGTCAGCGCCTCCACAAATCTTCTGTGGTCCAAACTTAATAGCGTGTCATGGAGTCCACAACTAATACTGGAGGGGTCACAAAAACCCTTATGACTCATGTTAGTTGACGGCTCGTTCTTTTAGCAGTGTGAATCCAAGCTGTGGGCAGAGTGAAAAAACCCAGTATGGAGTGTGCAAATGGCCATACTCAATAAACATTTGGCTAGGTTCACTAGACTTCTCCAAAGTCCTGTTGGATCCCTTAGAGGTAGACCTAGAATTTAAGTTACTCAGGAACATTTTATCTTGTTACATGTGTAAATTTAGACTGATTAAAATAAGTGTTTAACACAAATAAGTGATTAAAATAAGCATTAAATAACTCAAAATATTAAAATATAAAATAAATTACTATGTAATCACAAGTGCAATTACACAGTGAAACGATCAATGTAAAAAGTGTTAAGGAAGACTAAAATAATTACTTTTTTTTGTTTTTTAATTGACTGTTTAAAAACAAGTGTGTGTATCAGGCTGTATTACGGTAAAATATGAGTATGCCCCCCTGACCTATCAAAACAAGAAAAATGACCTATATTTGCATGTCTTTGCACTACCAATACTGCTTTCTTTACAAAGCAATGATAAATACTCTGAAAATAATCATCCATCTCAATGCAGAATAACAGTCACCCTCCACAGACTCTCTGGCGCACTCTTGTCAATTTGCGCTCTGCGTTCAACGTTAAATGTCTTTTTTTTCTCTCTCTCATCCTGCGCTCATTTCTACGTGTTCACCCGAACAAGACAGCGCTGAAGTCAGAGAGAGGTCAAGCGCATATGAATGAGAGGAGAAAACTGTCAGCTACTTTTACATTACAGAGAAAGAACAGCGATGCATTCATCTCTGTGCAACAATAACAGAAAGTTAATCGGTGAATTTTAGAATCTGGTTACGGAAAACACACTGGAGAGTCTTAAAAACAGACAACCAACAGATATTTAGGACTGCACACGTCCAGTTTAAGGTTAATAGTTACGTAAAGCTCGCATTGACTGTTATGTAACTTGTTGGAATACATTGTCATTTTTCCTTCTTAAGCGAGACGCTTATGAAAATATAGCCTACGATCGAGCGAATGTTCAGTTCTTGAAGAAATGGACAGTAAAGAGATTTGTGTTTAACGTTTGAATGTCAAAAAGCTTCGACTTATGTATTTGACGTTTGCGTTGTGCGTTTAGGCTGCTTGTCAAAATTAGACAAAACTCGCACAAGTCTTCGCTCAAATTAAACGGGAATTTCATTTTCTGTTAAACTAGGCTAGATGTTGGCTTCGAAAGAGAAGCTTATTATTAAAATATGCTGTTCTTTGAGAGAGTTTGGGAAATATATTTTACAGAAACCCTAACGGCTTTCAATCATGATTTATAATTAATAGCCTATATTTATGTTTTAAAAATGTAAATATCAGATATTTGTATTGTTCATAAAATCATAAAATATGTATTCTTTATTACAATTCATGACTATAGTCATAATCTGTTGTATTAGGTCAAGATCGTTGACATTTTCATAAACTAATTTTAGTGTTTTGATCGAAAACAATATGAAATGAATTTACGGCTATGCGTGTTTATGAACTGTCATCTGTACGCATTTCATGGGATGTTATTGTGCATGGCCTATTATATGTGTAAAATTCACCTGAATGGATTTTTGTATTTTTTTATATTTTAATAGGCATGTTTCCTTAAATTTAGTTTGAATGCTGGGGGTACTAACTAACAAAAACAAGCACGGATATTTTAGTTAACAGTCATATCCATCAAATTTATCTAACGTAGCCACATTGTAATGGCGTTTGTCCATGGATATGATTGTTGTGCTTTTATTTTTCTGGGGGAAAATAGGAGTAATGAGGATAACAGGCAAGCGAAACGACTTCCTTCAAAAATGTGCATTCCGTTGTACGGATCAATACATAACACTTTCTACTGCTACTCTAACGGTGCATGAATGAAAATGTACCAGAACGTTTGAATAGATAGAGTGTTAAATAGAGTCGAACAATTCATTTTATTACCATCATTCACATATCTCAAAACCTAATAACCCGTGGAAGGAGAATATGAGCATATTTCGAAAAAAATCACCTCCGACATAATGTCTTTCGTATTCGCCCCTACTGTTTGATGTGCCAATATGTTTATATTTTCCCGAAGTCAGTATCTCCTCCTGTCGGTGGGCTATTTCTCACGCGCATGCACGCGCACGGCAGTCTACTCTCGCGCCTGCATTTGTGCACACCCCCCAAGAGGAACATGTAAACATTGTAGGGTATATCGTATTTTCCTTTAAGCGACTAGGCACCGCTTTGCTACTAACATGTCGCCGGATCGCATTTAAAAACAAAAATACATCCAAATGGCCACGAATTAGAAACACTGCTATGCTCGATTCATTAGTTTCATAGCCTTCGGGCACAGTTTAAATTTGCACATGCTAATGATCTTGTGTTATCTGAGACACACACACAAAGTTGCGTGCATGCTACTCCTAATAGTACAGACCGCGTGCTTGCGCTCAGATTGCCCCCTCCCTCCATAGGTAGGCTATAGCCTATACATTCCCTCTCTCATTCTAGAAAACTTTGTACTTTCTGGCCGTGAAGAAATACGAAATGGTCAAACAATTTATCATCTTGTAGATTTTTTTTCTTTCTTTTTTTTTTTTCAAATAGCATCTTTTTTTATCTTTTGAGAATTGTGCACTGGCTATATCAGCACGCTCATGATCTTGATGTGCCTAATGGGGCGATCAAGCAAGTTGCAACCAGGAACAAAAGCCCAACCGTGACTCTTTTTTTTTTCAGACTAAAGTCCTCCACTCCTACCATATACTGGTCCCAAACAAGCATAATTACGTAAGGCCATGACCAGAGTCAAGTAATGCTAACTGTTTCAAGAAAACCCACGTCGATAAATTCGTCACGTTTCGACGTTTTAATGCATTAAACGTTACTCTGGGGACTTGGTTATATTTAATGTCTGACAATAATGAGGGGAACAAAAGTGAAATTAAATTACTTAAATAATCCTGCTGAATTAGTGGTGCAAAATATAAAAGCAAGCGTTTTTCTTTTTTTAAGGATTGAAATGTAATTTCCATTTTAAGCGTTAAGACTAACTCGTGTCCTTGTGATATAGCCTACTTAGCACCAGTTGTTATTGTTGTAGTTGTGTGATATTTTAATTTAGACTCATATTATTTCAAAATGATATAAAAATAAATATAAATAATAAATAGGTTACTTGTTTGAGTTTCCTTGTTGGTATTTCTCAACCTCCAATTCATTTGTTTAAAGAACAGTCGAGAAAAAAAAATATTGAAGTCATTTTTGTTGTACGTTTAATTCTTTAATATTGTACGAAAAGTAACCAAACATTATTTTGTAAACTAAATTTTACATACCCTACGAACGCATTTTCCATAAATACCGATTATCTCTAACATGTGTTACCGGTCCTTTACATGCGGATAAATATGGAAAACTGAGTTATATACAAGTAATAATTTCTTGCAGTTGCCAATGCAATAGACAGATAGTTTTATATTTTATCACTTACATAAACAAGATTGACACGGAGCTTCAGGCTTTCACTACACGGTTTATCGACATGACATTAAATAACAACAACTGTGTGCTACTCAGACTGGACTGGAGACGAAATGTTGCACTGGATACAAAAGCACATTAATACTAATCGGTTAGGTAAACGTGTAGACTGTGGTAATACTGGGTAATTCACATTTGGTACACATAAACTATAACATTCTTTTCAGTCAAGACTATTCATCGCAATATTCGTAAAACCATTTCATTTTCCATATATCTAGGGACCACATTTTTTCACAAATTCCCTTAAATTGTATTATGGCTATTTACAAAATAAAATATTACATTTTAAACTAGGTAAATCTTTATATACAAAACAAAACAGGCTGTGACCTGCTAGCATGCAGTTGAAGTTCTCTGTGCAGTCTTCCGAAAATATATAAAAAAAAAAAAAAAAAATGAAGAAGAAAAAAAAAAGGGGGGGGGGGGTGGCGTTGCAAAACAAATGGTGGACAAAAATCGGCTGTCAAGAGCGTTGCACACCCCGTCCATGCACTGCTCTCTTTAGACAGCGGGTTCAGAAAACCGTTCAGATTCTTCACATTGTGTGTGTGTGTAGGTCCACGCGAGAATAGGCTGACTTTTTGAGTCTTGATTCCAAAGCAGTCTTAATTCTGCAGTCTTTTGAAAATATTTACACGTACCATTCATTAAAATTTGACGAAAGGGTGCTGTGGCTGGTCGTGTGGTGAACTGTGGATGATGCTGGTGATATGGAACTGCTGCTCTGGTTTTCTGTGGAAGGGGACACGATGGTGGGCGGCGTGGAGGACTCGTAGCCGGAGCTGGCGGCCGGGGAGGGTTGGGGTCCTTGAGACGAAGCCTCGTGAACCTGCTCCGAAGGAAAATACAAATCAGTTTCTAATCCCACGGAAAATGTAACAATCACATAGATTCGAACAGTTGTATAGTGTCATGGCTCGATTATTTATAGCGTTAGCTTTTATAACGTGGCTTAATTGTAGTGCAATATTTTCATTACCATAAAAAGATTCAATAAGAGGCCAAAAATAAAATTAAACTGGAAAACAGCGTTTTAGTACACAGAAACGGGGAACAAATGAATGCATTTAGGTGAAAAATAATCAACTGTAATGTTATTGTTACCTTCATGTGTTTCCGGAGGGAGCTGGGATGTGTGTAGGATTTATCACACATTTTGCAGAGATATGGTTTGTCAGAGGTATGGACGTGCATGTGTTTCTTACGATCACTGCTGTTCGCGAAGCGCCTGTCACAGCCTTCAAACTCACACTTGAAAGGTTTTTCACCTAACAGAAACACAGAGCAAACATTTCTTAAAATACAATTTAACACGAGCATTAAAAAAAAATCAGTTACATTTCTAGATATGCCTACATAAATAGAGCAAATAAATATGAGCACATTTTAAAAGTTAGCAACTGTCCCTACTTCATACACGTCTCACAAAAATTAATCCTTTAAAATTTCGCCTGAATTATTTACGTTAATCTGCAAAGATACCGTTCTCTTACGCGTTTAATTTGTTAGATATTATATCACCCATTACTAGCGTAGGCCTAAATACTAATTCGTGAACATTTTTAAATATAGAACAAAGAAACAAATAATAATACCAGCATTATTTGCTTGGCAATAAATGCTTATTTACGGCTCCTTAATTACAACTTATAAAAATACAAAAACGATATCAATAATAACATAGAAAAATACGAGAAGAATTAATTTCTTACCGGTGTGTGTTCTTTTGTGGATTTTCAGATTTTCCGATCGGGCAAATACTTTTCCACAACCGGGGAATGGACACGGAAACGGTTTCTCCCCGGTGTGCACTCTAATGTGATTCACAAGTTTATACTTTGCTTTAAACGGTTTCCCTTCCCGGGGACACTCTTCCCAAAAGCAAATGTGATTCGACTGCTCTGGTCCCCCAACGTGCTCCACCGTCAGGTGGGTCACAAGCTCGTGCATGGTGCTGAAAGTTTTGTTGCAGGACTTTTTCGGATTCGTCAGCTGCTCCGGTTCGACCCATTTGCAGATGAGCTCTTGCTTTATGGGCTGTCTCATGTACCGAAAGAAGGCCCCTGCCCCGTGATGAGCAGCCATGTTCATGTTCATGGGGCCATAGCCGTGCAACTGAGTCGACGCATAATGCTCGGACCTCGGACTCGCGACGTGACCATATTGCTCGGCCCTCCCGTACATGTCCCCGGAAAAGCCCAGGCGCATCTGACTGTTCACCACGTTGGAGGACGCGTGCGTGGCCGCTTGCTCGTGCAGTCCCGGGAAGAGCAGGTGCCCAGCGGCGTCAGAGTGTCCATGTGGCCCGGCGAAACTTCCAGCGGCGGAGGCGAAGAGACTGTGCTGCGCACTCGTGGCGTCTCCGAACCCCCGATTGCGAAAGAGAAAGTCCCGAGTGGAGTTGAAGGCGGCGGTGGAGTACGAGCTGACATGAGTGGGGTGATGATGGTGTCCCAGGGCAGCGGCGGCGGCGTAACCGGGGGCTTGCGAGGAAAACGCCGTTTGGCCAGAGCCAAGATCGTGGGAGCTGTGGTTGATTTTAAAAGCGCCCATACCGTCGGCGAACGGATTGATACCCAAAGCCACTTCTCTGTCTGTAACTTCGCCTGTTGAGTGATGTCTGGTGGAGCCGAAAGTAGTCACTCCAATGGTGGGATACTGTGGTCCTGCGTCCAAGAGCATCTTCAGTCTGCAGCGGTGGAGACTGAGAGAGGAAGAATCTCTAGCAACTGTCTCTGCTTGCTATTTCTCTGACTTAAGTGTGTGCTAGGCAAACTCCGATGCCCTATTCCTATTTACTTTTTCGTCGAGAGGAATTTCCCTCTCCTGCTCATCCGATGCACACGCAAATCATGTGCAATATTGTCTTTTGCGGTTTATCTTCCTGTGGCGCAACTTTCACCTCCTCAGTCAGGCGGTGAGCTTCAGACTGATAGTCGCAATCATTCCTGCAGATAAATGAATTGAAAAGACAACACAGTCCACCCCTGATGAATGGGGAAGGAGGGGGGCAGCACGTGACCCCGTGCTTGGACCATCATTGGAGAGGGCGCTCTCCCCCTACTAACATTCACTCACCAAATAACAGCCCGCCATGCCTCAGCATCAGTGCGATTGGTCGGTTTACATCATCAATCTATGGGATTGTCGGGAGGTTGCTGACTGTGATTTTGCTCTGGATGTTAAAATTCAGAAAACAGACTTTAGTGAATGCATGGCCGAATAATGGCTTTTGTCCTAGACGGAGTAGCTACTTCCACGTTTGGCCTACTTATGTGGCAGCCTGGTGCTTTGCGAAGACCCTGGCGCGCATCTAGTAAACACTCACTGAAATGTGATACAGTGTGTTCTTACAAGACATGCAACTCTTGCATTATTTGAGAATAATAATAATAATAATAATAATAATAATAATAATAATAATGTTTCATATGATCTTTCCATAAATGTGTAGTTAAAATTACATGTAAGTTATCAATATTTATTTTTGAACATCGCCATGCTATTTACATATTTAAGAAATGAATGCACAAATTTGTGAAAAAAAAAAAATCTATAAAGATAACTAATACACGGGCTGCAACACCAATAGGCTTGCACGTTTTGGCTATGGTTTAGGCTACTTTATTTGCAAGCGTCGTTTTAATGATGTTCTCACTTTGAGAGATCTCGAGGAAACTATTCCTTCGTGGTTTTGCATTGCGCTTCTGCATTTCTGCGCACCACTTGTTTGATGCTGTTGTTGGAAACTAATTATTGCATTTATGTCCATATGATATACTTAAACGGATACGCAGTGCGTTGTAGGCCTCTGATTAACTTTCTTCTTTTTTTTCAAACATGCGAACGAGGTGTGTCTTTCTGTAATTCATATGTATAACCTGTGTTTTTAAAAGATTACGGCCGTAATGTATCACCCTTGTGTGTGAGTAAAACTTGTGGGTTGTGGAAGTTGTGAAGTGGGATTTCTCTCTGCTGGAAACTCCGGCGGCTGGAGTTCAAAGCCGCATGAACAGACGAACCATTAAAATATCATCCAGACTGCAGCCTTCAGCTCCATGCACTCTCAAACTCCTTCCAGTGAGAGAGAGAGGGAGAGAGACGGAGGGAGGGAGAGAGAGGGCCAGTTGAAGCTGTTGAGTTGAATGTTTTGTCAAACGGACGTTATCTTTATAAAAGAAATCTGGACGGTGTCTTCAACAGGTGAAAAACGGTAAGACTCGAGCGTGGGGACGACATACGTTTTGGAGGCGGAAATCATTTGGAAATATTAACCGACGTGTTTTAACGTGTGTTTTTTCCATATGCAAGTGCTTGTAACAGTTGAATACGTTTTTTTTTTTTTTTTTTTTTTTAAAGACTGGAATCAGCAATATATCAAATATAGAATATCAAAAGGACAAGCACACATATTCTGTTTGGTGCTACTGAACTTATTTTTTTTGTAATCTTCTAAAAGTTTCAGGAAGCCAAAATGCGCCATAAGAGTAAAAAAAAACAAACAAACAAACAAAAAAAAAACATTCCAACTTTATTTAACTACTGATGAGTATATTGTGCTTGGAAAGTTTTTTTTTTTTTTTTTGGCCTCCAATTGGACTTACTCGGTGTTAATAATATTTAGCCAATATTTGACTCATTGCTGCGTTTTCCATTGTCTTTATTCCTAAATCAAAAGCGTAATGTGTCTTTTCATATATTCCCTCCCTGTACTGCACGAAAAGAATTTGAAAATTAAACTTTAGGTTACATGCTAAAGAAATTCCTGAAGAATGCAACTCCGATCCAATCGACCATGAGCCCAGCCATTTGACTAACTTATCCACTATTCGACATAGTTCATACAATGTTTACATATTTATGACACGGATTGTGTGGTTTTGTCACCAGAGGCCTGACAGATCAATTCATGACCTTCCTCAAGGGAATACCAATTCATTTGCATCAGTAATTGAATGCATCTTGACCTTGATTAAAATTAAGCCACCTAAACTTGAAGAAATGTCTAAGGTCACGCTTTTCTTATAAAGATTACATTTGTGGATTTTAGACTTATGTATTCACATGTGATCATAATACGTGGACATAAACAAAATCACAATGGCCCTCGGATAAAGTAATGTTTTTGTGAAATGGGATTTTCAGTATTGCAACCACAAATAAAATAAAATAAAATAAATCTGAAAGAAAAAAACTTTTTGCTATGTCGTCTTCTGTTTCTACGCTTTGCACTGATATGCTGTAATAACAAACTATATACCTTCGAATGAAGTTGCAAAGTAATGTGGGATGGGGGTGTCAACTTTTTACATTTTTTATCGAGACACCTGAGCAATAAAACAATGTAAATGCTGTTTCTGGACGCTCACGTATAATCCGCGTAATTCCAGAAAAATCTTATAGTAACTTTGTGACCTTTGTTGGTCAGTTCACCCAACACCTCATCTGTGTCTGGCCGGCTTGAATAAGATAAAGCTTTAAAACAGCAATTATGTTATAATTCTGTATTGGAGTTATAGTATTTGCATTTTTATTGTGCACGGAGGAAACATTCCATGCACCAAAACTTCCTTCACTTCGTCATGGTAATTCTGTTTATGGCTTATTTTATTGCATATTGGAAAATTAGACAAAATGACATAGTAACAAACAATATCAGATCAAACTTTTATTTTGTCTTATCATTTATGCTATTTTGCATTGATTTTATAGGTTTTACTCTTCATATAACAATTATATATACATATTTTTTTCCTCTTTTGCGCAACATGTAGGAAACATATTTTAAAAACATTTTAAGAACGACACATTATATATTATACTGTTTATGTTGTGGAAGTAGTATGGAATTTAACATTTAATTTCTCATATTATACAAAGTGTGTACATTTAAAGCACCAATTAGATATACATTCACACACCATATAAAGCAAATTTTATATCTTGAAATATCAGCATTCGCTTAAAATGCCTTCCCTTGGGCAAAGTTCAAAGAATGTCTTTAAATTTCTTGTGCTTGTTTTCATGAGGTGGATACTGTCCATTTGCTTTCAAGCCTTTTATACAAGATAACACAACAGCCGGTTGTTTATTCATGGTTGTACTTTATTCATAACAGGTGCACTGTCAACAGATAAATAACGGTGAATAATGTGTGAGATACATTTTACGTTTTGGAAAGAACGCATTAAGTGTGTATTAGGATTTTTATTTAACAGCTACTCGAGCTTTTATGCAAAGACTTTGCTTTGCTGCCCTGTGCACTTTTGATGAAGCACCACCTCCTGTGTGCCTGATCCGCCGCCGCCGAACAACTGGGGCCGAAAATTACCCCCGATCATAACAACAGATCTTTTGCGATACTTTTTTCCCCCTATGGACAATAGGCGACCTTCGCGCTTTTCACAAGACACCGATCCCATGACGACGCAGAAGCACCGTTAGAGAAAAAAACAAGGGGTCTGAAAACTTTTTTTTTCAACAAAATGTTTAATTACAGGGAAAAAAAAAACAATCGGGGTCTGAGCAAGCAGCTTGCTACTGCAAACTTTAACTTTGTACTTACCGCCGTTTTTGAGTTTTATTACGACGCTTTTTCATGCTTTCTATAACGGAATACCAGACGGAACATGTGTTGCAGTTTTATTGCATGCAAGCCCACTCTTTGCAGTTTGGCTATTGCGGTAATAGCTAAAACGCGCTCTTTTAGAACGCAGTCGCGCGTTTTCCACAGCTAATATAAATAAAGGATACATTGCTTCGTCGCAACTTCGGTTGCAGTTAAAAGTACAATAACCTTTGCATAACAAAAGCATTTTTTTCATCCGCTGCCTGAGGCTCGGCGCATGCGCGCTCGCTGTTTGCTGTCACTAAAACATTTTTCTTCGCATTGGAAACTGTCACGAGTGACGTCAATCACGGAGCACTGACCAATTAGAGCGCTCGGTGATTGTTTGGCTCCACGGGCTGCAGCGCCTACCATGAATCTCTATTCAGTATATCAAAGCGTCCTGCTGCTGCCTCTCAACCGAATGGGATTCCACGTAGGCACTGAGATAGCAACTAAACTTTAGGGGAAGTTGATTTTTTTTTTCTTCTTCTTCTGTATTCTTCAAAGCGATTAAAATATATTTGTCATCATCATTATTATTATTTTGCCTGCTGTCAAGTTATTCTAAAATTAGGAGTAATGAGCGTGGATGCTTTGGGAAGCCCTGTGATGGACCCCGCGTTTTCCAAACGGAACACGACGCTGAGATTAGTTGACTTGGCAGGGGCTCACCACCATCACCATCATCACCACCATACCCCTCAGAGCGTGACAGGCTTCCCGGGGTTCAGCAGCCATCCACACTCAATGGTTCACTCGCACCCTGGGGAGATGACTGCGGAACCCCGCCTGGGGCCGAGTCCATTCGGGCCAGAACACATGGGGCACTCCGCGGCCCTCAAAATCAGCCCAACCCATCATTATCCCCACCACCATCACCACCACAATCATCATATTGCAGGCCACAGTGAAGTGGTCTCCAGTCAAACGGGAGCTTTTGGCCCGGTGCAGGCGGCAACGGTTCCGTACTCTATGTCTCACACGGCCCAGGCGCTATCCGCAGGTAGGGATTTCCTCATTCGCCGAGATTTGACAGCTCAAGCCATGCCCGTGCTGACCGATCAGACTTCTGGTTCAGCCTCTCACCACGGAATGTTTGTCTCAACAACAGGTAGCTATCCGGGACACTATGGTCATCACCCCGACCCTGGGAACCATACTCTCTTCCCTGGACTTCATCACGAGCAACCATCTACCGGAGCACCAGGTGGTCAAGCCTTGAACGGACAAATAAGGTTAGGAATACCTGCCGAAATGTACGTTCGGTCTGATCATTTGAGTCAAGTAGCGAGCTCCAGGGCAGACCCGTTCTCTGCTTCTCCGCTGCACGGATACGGCGGACTCAATCTGAACA